CCCGGGCCGAGGCTCTGGACCCATATAGCTGCTGAGGAAAAGAACATCCTTACCTATAATGGACCCACGTCGACACCCACCTAGAAGTACTGTGGTCATTTATTTTACTCCAAAATATCATCAGTGTCTAAACAGGAACTTCAGTTTAGACAAAAGTTTCATGGTGAATAATCCTATAAACTAGCAGCTGTGGGCATGGTCAGTACTTCCTTGGGGAGAAAAAGCCCTGTTAAGGAAGGAGTCACACCTACTATTTGGTCTTGGAACAGAATTAAAGATGATGTAAGGAAAAACACTGAGCCAATAGGAAACACGGCACCAAGGCAATGCTAGGTTTGGATGAGAAGTCTTCATTTGCCTACGGCATCAACAGAAGAAACATGACCACGATCTGTTCTTTCACTGGGCATGTTGCACATGCCACTGTCCTTCTGGGCCAATGACCACACTCATGCATTTGATTATATTTTATTTTCAAAAAGGCAACATTGATTCCACTTTATCTAACAGATTACATAGTCAAGGCATTTAAAAAAACGTTAATCAAGAAATCCCACTCTCATCTGCAAAAGTCAGGCTCTGTTAGATGCAGCCGAGATTATAAGACTATAAAGGTCATTAAGTCTACTGGATCTTGAGACTTATTCACCAGCACTCACAAGAAAAATGCAAAACTTTGCTCTCCTGAAAAGGGGTGTTACTTTTTAGGAAACGGGTAGAGCTTCTGAAAGCCTCGACATTTGTGAGTATGCTAATAGCCTTTACAAATGAATTTCACACAATCTGTGCTACGTCAGCTACGAGTCAACAGGCTTGATGTCAGCAGGTGAAACATATCCCTACGGATCTGTTGCTGTTCATGATGACATGAGAAGGTCTCAACTGCAACCCCAGAGGCTCTTCCCATTGCATTCATACAACAGGAATACATATAAGTGGATTCCCACTAATAATACTTAAAATAAGCAAACAATACTATAAATCGCATATTGCACAGAATGTTCAAATATTTAGTCTTGAACTGTATGTAACAAAGCAAAAATATGCCATCATTCCAATGAAAAAGGGAGGGGAATAGTTTTAACACACCACTAATTTATGTGGTCAAGTTTTTTTAGAGAAAGATAGCAAAGCCCATACAAAATTTAGGGACAGAAGAAAATTCAGATTTCAGCCACTAGTACCTCTCTAAAGACAAACCTGGTGTTTCTATGCCCTGCCACTTGGAAAGCTTACCTCCTACTCTGCCAGGCACCTTCTAGTTGAGAATATAACAGTTATTCCAATCACTCTGCATTTCAAATCTCCTTGCCCCTGACAGCCCACATCTGGAACATTCACCATGCCTACAGGGCAACCAGGGGCCATAAAGCGAGAGGATGAAAGCATTCCCTGTGAGACAGATTGCTGAAAAGAAGCCTTCTGCCCCATGCCCTCCAAAAGTACTGATCATATTATTTAACTACATCCAAGGAATGAGGGGAAATAACTGACAACTACAAAGAAACTAGTCAAGCTGTCAAAGAGCAGAGAAGAAGCATGTAACCTAACTCACATCACACGTGCTTCACTCTTAAATTTCTTCCTTCAGATGGTCCTTCTCTGCAAATAGGACTGGTCTTCAAGTTCCTGAGTCTCCTCCTCATCCAAGTTGCTCAAGCTAATTTTAGTCTTTCCCAACATGATCCAGTTAGAATATATAAAGCTTTTGTGGCAGCAAAGGAAATAAGGAATACAGAGGGACAGGGAGTTTAGACTCTCTTCTAGTATTTATCTAGATAAGAAGTGTCCAGAATGCTGCAAGCAGCGGAGTAACCAGCAAAAGTGTGGTCCCTGTTATACGCGTCCCATCACTTTTGTTACACTTGTCCTTCTGACAGCATTCATAGTGTAGAGATGACTCTGATAAGGCCTGTGAGATGTAGGTGAAATTGCAGTTGTCATACTTCCAACACTGGTAAACTGTTTGTGTCTCTGTGGGAGAAACACACACAAGAGTAAGAAAACAAGGGCGTAAAGTTCTGTACCTGCCTTTGAACCCTCAAGTCTACTTCTTGGAACTTACCTGGCGGAAGTAGAGACATTTGGGCAAGAATGTGCATCCCAGTTGGGTTGTAAAGAGGCATAGTTAAGTAAACGATGGAACTTTTCCATAAAACCAAAGTCTCATCAGAGCCAGTAAGATTGTGTGTGGAGGGGAGGCAAAAGGCAATCATACTGATGTTTTAAGAGATTTACCAAGATTTTTAAACACATGCCCACACTAATCCAGCAAGTCCACTTCTAGATTTTACTCTATGACATTACTTGTAAAAAAAAAGTTAAGATATATTCCCCAAAACAGTCATTGCAGTACTATTTGTAACAGCAATAAACTATAAAACTAGCCCATTAAGTTTAAAAGTGTTTGAAGAAATTATGGTAGAGTTCCATACAATGATATTCTGTACAAATAGTAATGACATAGGCCTGCAGGTGTTGATGTGAAAGAGCCCGAGTTTTTTAAAAAATGCAGAAAAATGAACTGAACTTCATCAAAATTAAAAACATTTGTGCTTCAAAGAACACTATAAAAAATACACAAAAGGGGAGAAAATGTATGCAAATCATATATCTGACCTAAGAGTCCAGTCAGAATATATAAAATACTTACAACCCAACAATAAAAAGACAAATCACCCAATTTAAAAATGGGCAATGGATGTGGATATTTCTCCAAAGAAGAGATACAAATGGCCAATAAGTGCATGAAAAGATGCTCAATATCATTAGTCATTAGGAAAATACAAATCAAAACCACAATGAGAAATTCTGGTCAAGATAGTGGAGGATATAAATGCTGTGCTTGCCTCTTCCCATAACCACATCAAAATTACAACTCAATTACAGAACAAACACCCTGGAGAACTATCTGAAGACTAGATGAATGGAGTTCCTATAACTAAAGATATAAAGAAGGAGCCACGTTGAGACTGGTAGGAGGGACAGAGATGAGAAACAGGCTGGTCTCATACCCACATGTGGCAGTTGAGAAATGGGAGGGATATCTCAGCTGCAGAGGTCCCCCAGGAGGAGTGAGGGGTCCCAGCCCCACACCAGGACCCCCAGCCTGGAGTACCAGTGCTGGGAAGAGGAGCCTCCATAACATCTGGCTGTGAAAAATCCATGGGGATTCCATCTGGTAAGAAGTAGGGCTGCTGGAAACCCAGGCATTCTCTTAAACAGCCCACTGGAGCCCTCCCAAGAGGCCCTAGAACCAATACACCTGGTGGATGGCTTCAGACTACAACAGAGTAACACCCATTTAGCTCCACAAATAGCATACCCAAAAGGTAGTCTCGGCAGCTACCAAACCCTACTAAAGTGAATCCTGCTCCATGCGGTCAGCCTCTTCACAGCAGCTTGTCCACTGTGGTTGTGGCCAACCCTCACAACCAGGAAGCCTGGAGGTTAACCTCACCCACTGATGTGCCAACAGCAACCAAGACTCAACTATAACAGGAGGGGACATACAACCCACACAAGGAGCCCTCCTGGAATACCAACTACATAAGGCCACCCTGCCAAGACTGAGAGATGTAGCAGATCTACCTAATACATAGAAACAAACACAAAGCAGCCAAAATGAGAAAAATAAACATGTCCCAAATGAAATAACAAGAAAAAACTCCAGAAAAAGAACTAAATTAAGTGGAAGCAAACAATCTACTAGATAGAGAGTTCAAAACACTGGTTATAAGGATGCTCAATGAACTTACGGAAAAATAGATAAACTCAGTGACAATTTCAACAAAGAGATAGTAACGATAAAAAATGACATAGAAACCATAAAAAAGAACCAGTCAGAAATGAGGAATATGCTAACTGAAACAAGGACTACATTACAGGGAATCAACAGCAGATTAGATGAAGCAGAGGATCAAATCAGCGATTTGGGAGACAAGGTAGCCGAAAGCACTGAATAGTAACAGCAAAAAGAAAAAAGAATTTAAAAGAATGAGGATAGTTTAAGGGACCTCTGGGATAGCATCAAGCATACCAACATTTGCATCATAGAGATATCAGGAGGAGAAGGAGGAGGGGGGGGGAGAGAGAGAGAGAGAGAGAGAGAGAGAGAGAGAGAGAATAAACAAGGGATTGAAAACCTATTTGAAGAAATAACGACTGAAAATTTCCCTAACCTGGCAAAGGAAATAGACATACAAGTCCAGGAAATGCAGAAAGTCACAAACAAGATGAACCCAAAGAGGCCCACACCAAGACACATCATAACTAAAATGTCAAAGTTTAAGACAACTAGAGAATCTTAAAAGCAGCAAGAGAGCCTGGCTGGGCATGGCTCAGCAGTTGAGCATTGACCTAGAATCCAGGTGATTGGGGTTTGATTCTCGATCAGGGCACATGCCCGGGTTGCGGGCTCGATCCAGGAGGCAGAGGATCAATAACTCATCATTGATGCTTCTCTCTCTCTCTCCTTTCCTCTCTCTGAAATCAATAAAGATATATTTTTTAAAAAGGCAGCAAGAGAAAAACAGCTACCTACAAGGGGAGCTCCCATAAGACTGCGCAACAGAAACATTTTAGGCCAAAATGGACTGGCACAAAATATTCAAAGTGATGAAAAGTAAGGACCTACAACCAAGACTACTTTACCCACCAAGGCTATCATTTAGAATCAAAGGAGAAATAAGAACTTCCCAGAAAAGATGGCTTCTGTCATGGGTGGCACACATAAGGAGGCTTGATTGCTCTATGTGCAGAATCGACATCAAGAGATTTCAGAGGCATAATTTTTTGGTATTTAGGCAGCTGGTGATTGTTGGTCCTGGTGCCCAAGAGAAAGAAAAAAAAGAACTTCCCAGAAAAGAAAAATCTAACATCACTGTCAAACTACTACTATAAATCTTAAAGGGGCCTCTATAAGGAGGAGGAAGAAAGAAAAGATCATAAGTATGAATAAAATAGTAATGACTATGTACCTATCAATAATCACTTTAAATGCAAACAGAGTAAGTGCTCCAATCAAAAGGCGCAGGATGGATGAACAGGTAAGAAAATAAGACCCATACATACACTGTCTACAAGAGACCCACTTCAGATCAAAATACACACACAGACTGAAAGTAAAGAGATGAAAAAAAGTAGTTAATGCAAATGGAAATGGAAAAAAAAAAAAGCTGGGGTAGCAATGCTTATATCAGATAAAACAGATGTCCAAACAGAGGCTATAATAGGAGATAAAGGACATAATGATAAAGGGATCAGCCCAACAATAGGATGTTATCCTTGTATGCACTCAACACAGGAGCACCTAAATATATAAAGCAAATATTGATGGAAATAAAGGGAGAGATCTACAGCACTACAGTAATTGTAGGGGACTTTAACACCCATTGACATTAATGGATAGATCATTCAGATAGAAGATCAACAAGAAACAGTGGCCTTACATGATACATTGGACCAGATATATTTAATTGATATTTTTAGAGCACTGCACACCAAAGTAACAGAATATACATTATCTTCAAGTGCACATGGAACATTTTCCAGGAGAGACCACATGTTATACAACAAAATGAGTCTGGATTTTAGTGAGGTTTGATTAAGTGGCAGAGGCCTGACAGTGTTCCAATGCTCTACAGGCTTGGATCATAATATTTAAATGTATGCTCCTAATACTGTATTAGATGATGCTGTTGAATAGGACAAGTGACTGCTTTATGTAACAGTAATTAGGCATTGGAACTGAGAAAGCATTAAAGCTAGCAGAATTTTAATTAGGGAAGCCTAACAGTTTGGGGAGTATAATTTATTAATAGTTGCTACCAATTAATCACTTACTATGTGTCCTGCAGTGAGCCAAGCACTTTACTTGAATTATTTTACTTGCATAACAACCTTAAGATAGTTTCACACCAAAGCCACTATCAGAATCACCCAAACAAAAGTGGATTAAATCACCACCACTGGAATATTAGGTTTTCTCTCTCTGCTTGGCACATCCTCCCCACTCTCTTTGAAGATTTGGCTTGAGTCTATCTTCACCAAGCAACAATGCACAATCGTCCTAGTGTGCCCTGTGTTCAGCAGGCCATTACAGCAATGATCACTTGGTACTGTTATCAGACGCTCCTGCCAGACTCCAGGTACATGGTTTACACTTCCAGGACCTAGCCAGGATGCCAGCAAATAGTGGTTCAATTAACACCCAACACCTCTCTCTCTTCTAGACTTAATCTGCACAGCACTTATACCCCTTTTCTTCTCTTAGTGCTTCACTGACCCCAGGAGAGAAGCATTCCCATTTTACAGCTGGGGGGTAAGGATGGGGGACACGGCTAGAGTAGTTAAATGACTTCTCTAATGCAATGCCTGGCGTCTGACTTGTGTTTATGACAGTGTGCCCTGCCTCTCCCAGGCTGATGTCTCCACAGCTGGAGGGGGACTTAGATGCTCTATTAATGTTTGCCTTACTGTAAAATCAGAATATCTCTATTTCAAGATGTCTAGCTTAAGTTTGGGGACTTATGTTCATGAGAAGAAAAAAATTAAGATTCATATCACCTTTTAAAAAGTAGATTTTATTCTTGAGAGGAGTTTTAGATTCACAGCATAATTGAGCAGAAAGTACAGTTCCCATAGAGTTCCCTGGCAACCCCACTCCAAACAATTTCCCACACTATAAATATCCCAAAACAGAATGGTACATTTGTTCCAACTGATGAACCTACATGGACTCATCATTACCACCCAAAGTCCATAATTTACACTTGGGTTCACTCTGGGTCTTGTCCCTTCTAAGGGGTTTGATGAATGTGTGACATGTATCCACCATTAGAGTATCATACGGAGCAGTTTCACTGCCCTAAAAATCCTCTGCGCACCACCACGACCCCTCCCCTTTTCAGCTCACCCCTGGTGACCGCTGACTTTTTATTGTGTCCTTAGTTTTACTTTTTCCAAAATGTCCTATTGCTGGAATGATGTGATAGGCAGCCTTTTCAGGTTAGATTCTTTCACTTAGTAAAATATATTTCAGTGTACTTCATGCCTTTTTATGGCTTGATAACTCATTTGCTTTTAGTCTATTGTCTGGATGTCCCACAGTTTATTTATCCATTCATCTACTGAAGGACATCCTGATTGCTTCCAAGTTTTGACAATTATAAATAAAATTTATAAACATCTGTGTGCAGGTCGCTGTGGGCATATATGTTTTCAGCTTATTTGGGTAAATGTCAAAAAATGCAACTGCTGACTCATATGGTGAGAGTATGTTTAGTTATTTTGAAAAAAACGCCACACTGTACCATTTCCCATTTTCACCAGCAACAGATGAGTGTTCCTATTGTTCCACATCCTTGCCAACACTGGTGAAGTCAGTGTTCTGGACTTTGGCCATTCTAATAAGTGTGCCTCATTGTTTACATTAAGCATTTTTAAAAGCTTAACAATTCATTATAAGATGAATAAGTTCTGGGGATCTAGAGTACAGCATGGTGACTACAGTGAATAATACTGTACTGTATACTTGAAGTTTGCTAAGAGAATAGATCTTAAGTGTTTTTATCACAGAAAAAAAGGTAGCTGAGATGACATGTGTTAATTAGATTGTGGTAATCACTTCATAATGTATATGTATATCAAATCATCATCTGGTACACCTTAAATATACCCAATTTTTACTTCAATAAAGTTGGGAAAAATTTAAAATAAAAGCTTAATAATTAAGATAAGAAACAATGGGATTGAGAGCCGGAAAAAGATTTTGGCTCTAGTCTATTTCCCTCCTTTCCTCTCCTCCCCATCTCTACCATCTAACATACATTTCATAAATGAAAAAGAGGCAAAAAGAACTTACAGTGGCAAGACAGAGCTCAGAGCTCAGAGCTCCAAACTGGTAATCTTGTACTTATTCTACACGAAATATTGCCTTTATTCTCTCATTTGCAAATTACATTTTTGTAATGGGGGTCCAAGAGACACAGGTGATCGAGGTTAAGAACCAGGTCTCTGTGCTCATATGTAACTGGTGCTAAAATATTTATGAAGTGAGTGATTATGTTCTCTTTGGGGGCCTTACTCTGCTTCCTACATTAACGATGAATTAATAGGGTACTCCAGAGGCCAAGGAACTATCCCCCTAAAGAACTAAGTTCCTTGCATAGAGGGCTTGAAACTTGAATTGCAATCCAGGAGTTTATATCAAAATTAGCAGATATTCCTGTTTTTCAGGCAGGATAATTCTAATTTGTTCTTACTTACTGAAAGATATCTCCTTTCTCAGAAAATTGATCTTCTCTTCCTTACTATCAGGTTTTTCTGAACCTGTGGGTTTCCCAAGTCTTTCATGAATTTACCTGATCTGTTCAACATTCCTTGATGTTCCCACCATGAAGAGTTTGTGGTAGAGGGTATGAGTGAAATAACCTCAAAAGGAGTTTTTATTTTTCTCTCTCAGGGATGTAAGTCTGGGGCGGTGGGCGGGGGGAGAGTCTTTGCACATTACCTAACTAAGAAGACCCAGAAATGGCCATTTCTCACCAGTTATCATTTCCACACATAGATTCAATCCAGAACCACATCCAGCAAGAACAGAGGGCATGCCTTTGCTGGTTTCTTTCCTCTGTCCACTGTTTCCTAAATCCTATTTTAGTAAAATTTATGGGGGTAGATATTCTAGAGTCTGACCAATGTGGGAAATGCAGTTTTACAGGACTTGTCAATGTTAGCAGTCCCCCACCCCGTGTCCCTGAGTGCCCTGCTCTCTGAGGCCACCAAACCTTGGTAGCTGCTTTTGTCACACTCAGGAACACTCTTCCCCTTTTACATTTCTGACAGCTAACAAACAGGCCTCTGTCATAATTCTGTCTCCTTTCTTCATCTTTGCATTCCTAGCCCTGAGCTCAGACTCGAACACAGGCTCTTAAAAGACTGAGAGGCAGCAGCACTGCTGTTAAGAGAATAAGTATCGGAACAGATGGATTCCCATGTTCAAATCCCGGGTTGTTTACTTGACCTTAGTCTGTTGCTTAATATGGGCCTCAGTTTCCTCATTTATCAAGTGAGACTAAGATATTACCCTGAGTGGTAGGCGAGAAGCATTAAATTAAATATGTATGAAAAATGCTTAGTGCTACATGTAGCTGATGCTATTAAATGGTGGTTATTACTTGCTGATGTCTAATGAGGAGTAAAGTGGCACAATTTTTTTCCCAGGCTTTCATCATCCCATTACACTTAGGAGAGAGGGAAGGGGAAAGTACTTACCAGATTTGACATAGAGGCAAGCATCCAAATTAGGCGAACAGGTGGTGATGACAGTACACTCACCACCTGGATTGAGACAGCTGTAGCACTTCAGGCTATGACCTAGAATCAGGAAGAAAACCCATCAGAATCTGGTAGACCTGCACTGACTTGCCCTTCTGGCTACATGACTGTGGGGCAGAGGTCAGCATGCTCCCATTCCCACGCACACTTGTAGCACATAGATTTTTCCAAACCCAAACTACAGTTCCAGCAGCACTTTTTTTTTTTCTGGACCCTGATACAAGTGCAAAGGAAATTTCCATATTTAAAAATCCGTATAACTCTTCAATTAATCACTTCAACTGGAAGTGATTAATCTGCAATGTAATGATATATTAAAAGGAAACACTATCAAGAGAATAAGCTAACAATTCTATAAATGCCTTCCAAGCAACAAATATGCTCTATGAAATCACATTTTCATGGATTAATAATCAGTATTTCGCAGTAGTTATCTGTGAGAAAAGACATTTTCAAAGATAAAGTACATAAAATCTCACTACAGAGAGCATTAACAGAGGAACACTTGCAACCAACTGGATGAGGGGGAACGCTAATTTTTGAATCCCAAATAAGTAGAATGTTATTCTCCCAGAAAGAATTCCATTCTTCCCCCAGTAGATCTGTATTACAAATAATTGTACTCAATTATAACATTTCAAATTTTGTCAATTAAAAATCTGTAGAAATTTATTTTCTCTTATTTATATAAAAGCCTACAAAAACATCCTTGATTTTGTCTCTTGGCCTGCAAAGCCTCAAATATTGGCTCTCTGGCCTCTACAGAACAAGTCTGATGACTTCTGGGGTAAGGTGTCATCACTGAAGCTACTCCCATTGCCAGAAGCATACATAATTGAAGGAAATATATCAGCTGTACACCTTAAATCCTGGTGGGGCAGCCAGGCAGTAACACCGAACACAAGAGTCGGGGTACATCAGACACCAACTGCCTCTGGTTCTCTGATGTAAAAATCGATTCTGCTCTCATTCAAGTTCTTAGGGTTCATTTTTGCTAGTTAGACTTCAGGTTTTGCTGGATTATTTTACTTCTCTGTTTTTATCAATGGTGACAAAAAGATAGGTCATATTTCACATCTGTTATGGGGAGAGGCAGAGAAGTAAGAGCTACAAGACAATGTTCCTGACTCATGTGGACACATCCTTTTCTATTAGAGATGACCCTCTTCCTGCTGCATGCCTTCTGTCATGTAATAAGAATCTGTCATGCCTGGGGCAGGGCTCCGTTATACCCCTCTGCCTCTTCTCCGCAATAAGTGTTTGTCACACCTGCATGAGAGGGGACCCACACTGAGAAGGGACAAGATGCAATTTTTCTATTCTCTTCTCTGCTCCAGTTGTGTGTACATGCAGAAGAAAAAAGAATGGAAGAGGGAGGTATTGCCTGGCTCTTTGTGAGGGCCATTTGAAAAGGCTGCCCATAGCAGTGGATTTTCTCCTGGCTAGAGCTAGAGTTCACTTGGCTTCTTGACAAATCTTTAGCAGAGGAACCAAAGCTAACACTGGGAACTTTAGTGGGGCAGAATTGTTCAGAGCTAACACATTCATTCAGTGTTCACATATTTGGGCACCTCTGTGCAAAGCTCTCAGTCTTCACAGAATTGTTGTAAGAGGCAGGCTCAGGGATCTCCGTCATCATCTTTTAAGAGAAAACTAAGACTCAGGTGTCAGGAGTCGCACAGCTACCAAGTGGGAGAGCTGGGACTCAAATCCAGGCCGCCAGTTCTGAAACCCAAGCTTGGTTTAACCATGTTGTTCTAATAATCTTAAGTGGGAAAGAGGAGGAAACAGCACAGATTGTGGGGGAAAACCCCAGGTCAGGGACCAGCAATAGATCAGCAGTCGACTGTTCAATATTTTTGCTACTAATCCAGGGTAGAAAAACCTGCTTCCAGATGATGACTCTCAGAGGAGAGGACTGTCATAGAACAGCCGATGGCCCCCAACACAAGCCTACTCCATAAACACACTTCTGGAAATTGGGCATGACCAGGTTATTCTAACTGCAGAAAATACACTGGGTAGAAGAATTCAGACAGTAATGTAGTGTCGTAACATAAGTGAACCACATTACAACCTACCCTGGTTAGAATCAGCAGAGGTGGGGAGGGAGGGAGGGAGTGGAGTCACGAATTCTCTTTTTTCTCTGAAAGGGAGAGCATATTCAACTGTGTCCTTGGGCTTCAGTTTCCTCAACTATAAAATGGGTATAATAACACTAACCCCTCTTGGGATGGCTGGAAGGATTAAATGAGACAGGGTTTGGCACAGTCCCTACTACGTAATAGGCATTCAATATATGGCAGCTACTAAAGCTACTAATATGTTAGAAATGCTCTAACATGGTAGATACCTTTTTTCTTTTGCTCACTGCACTGCTACTTCCTTCTCTGTTCCCCCACCCCAAAACTGGTAGTACCCACATGACACAGGCAGAAAATGACACTTGATCCTTATGATGAAAGCAAAGCAAGTCACACAAGGTGTTCCTAGAGTTACAGAGGTTAAGACTTAGAAATACACAAACACCTCCAGGAGCCAGGGAGGGGCAGCCCAGTGGTGAAGGAGTTAAGAGCAGTTGCTCAGAAGCCAGGCTGTTTTGGTTCAAATTCTGGCTATGCCACTCCTGTGGGATAGTTTACAAGCTATTTAATCTCTTTGGACCCCAGTCCTGTCGCTTGTAAAATGGCAATAAAAATAGTACCTACTCCATGGGGTAGACATGAAGATTAAATAAGTAAATACCTCTGAAATGTTTGGAATAGTGATTGGCACATAAATGCTATAAGCATTAGCTGCTACTGCTGTTAATATGATCACCATCCTTATCATGGCCCAGGAGAAGCCTTAGCAGGACTAAGCTCAGCAATCTAAAGATGGTGTCCACTGGTGTCCCCAGCAGCTTGTAGTGAGAGAGGTGAAACTTAAGCTGCTGAGTGGTACATACCCCCTCTGCCCCTCCCCACCAAAAGCAGCTCTGTAACCCAGAATAACTGTAATTTGGGAAGGTGCTCCTCTGTGGGCAAGGCTGTAACATAGGAAGGAGTTGTCACACAACCCTGGGCCTGTAACACTGGAAGGCAAAAGAACCAAAGCCAGACTGAGGCCAGTGGCATCAGCTCAGTCTTCCTTAGGCTTAAGGAAAAGTAAGCGTATGGCCAAAGGGGCCTAGAGAGTCCAGATCCATGTCCCTCCAGACCACTTACCTGAATCACAGAGGACAGACAGGATAAGCAAGAGCCCGAGGATGAATCTTCCTTTGCTTCCCATTATCTACAGAATCTGGAAGGAAGACACACAAAGAATTGTCATGAACCAACAAATGACAGACTACTGACCAGTTATCTCGGAAATCAAGAATTAGAAGGCTTAGGGAGCTTCAGGAGACATGGGGAAGGAGCTAGCAGGCCAAGAAAGCAGAGGAAATCTACCAGGCTGGCACGCCATAAACCAAGGGGTGCTCTCAGGTGGGGCAGCACTTGGTCCCCACTCCTGCCTAGATCTCAGCTTACTGAAGAAATGCTGTCGATCCTAGTGAGAGGGGCAGCTATAGCGATTCAAGGCACTCAGGGCCCAGAGTCAGGATGACCTGGGCCCCACCCTACCTCTAACCTATAGTAGCTGTGGACCCTTTCTCCATGCAGTGGGAATAGCACTGCTTTCCCCATAAAGTCTGCTTGGTCAATTGAGAATATGAGGTAAGTATTTAATACAGCAACTGCAATTCCTGCTCTGCTGCAATTCCACCCAATGCTGTTGGCTGACCAGAGCCTAGTAAATGTTACTTCTCCAAGCCACGCCACTAAGGGCAGCCAATCAAAAGAGGGACTCTGGACAGCACCAACATGCGTTCAGCAGCAGAACAGGAGGCAACGGCTTAGCATGCTGGAAGCTCTGGCTCCCCACCTTAGCAAGTATGATGGGGACACCTCCTGGTTCACTCTGGGGTAGTAAAAGGAGTTCCAGGTAACTTTAATGATGAGTCCACATTACATTCATGCCTGGATATATAGCTGTGGGCATCAGGGGAGAAGAGGGGAGGGCCGAAATGCCTCAAACCCTCCCTTTGTCTGCTAAGGAAATCAAGACACAGGGAGGTTTTTAATTGTCTATGGATGAAAAGGGGCCTTGTATTAAACCTGACCAGCTCAAGGGAGGCCCACATGGCAGGCCCTACAAACTCAGAAAGTAACCAGATATCACTGGGGAGAAAAAGGGACATCTGTAATATTTTAAACAAAAATAAAATTAAAAGAAAGAAAGTAACCAGATAAGATGACCTGAACATAAAAATTCCTAATTGAAAGCAGGTCATGGCAGGTAGTCATGTCCTGGGCCTGTAGCTTCCTTGACAAAGTTCAATCTTTACCTTAAGGGAGCCTGTCTTGGGGTTTTTTTGCATCTAAGATAACATACCTTTGGAATTGCAGAGTAATCTCCTTTTCCAGACCCCTCAGGGTACACCCACCACATCAGAACATGAGACCACAGAACCATTCCCCATTATCTTGTTCCCTGAATATCATTTCTATGTAATATAAATGTGAATTATTAACTACCCTGTACCCACCAATGTAAAAGAAGTCTCTCTCCATTTTACTTTTTAATCCAATCCCAGAGATTTCCCCGTTTTACTTTCTCCTGCCTCCCTAATCTACCACCAATGAACCGCATTCGTGTAATCTCTTACATCTCCTCCTTTGTTTCTAATGTATAAAATAAGCTGTAAAACTGCCATTCTCTGGAGTATTTTCTCAACCCATTGAGATTTTGCTTCCTGGCAATTGTCATCAATTTGGCTCAAATAAACTCATAAAAATTCTCTAGACACCTGGTTGTTTATATCAATGTCTAAACAATGAGTAGTAGATCTAGGAAATCTCCCAACCCCACCCTACTTCCCTGAGCCCATCCTGAAAGAAGGAGGTGACAGTTCCTCTGTACCAGGGGGGCTTCATATTCTCTTCTCCTGAGTCCCGCAGGCCAGGACTTCTGCCTGGCAGACAGGCGGGGCTCTTGGTGGATAAGGCCCCATCTTCTTCTAGGTTAGAAATGTCATCTCTTACATCTTCAGAGGTCATCTGCTGCTCAGGAACTGGCTGATGAAGGCCAGGGAAAGGTTGAGAAGCAGAAAGGGCAGGGTCTGATTAAATAATTAGGGGCCTCTTCTCCTTTTAAGGGCCCATGTGATTACACTGGGCCCACTGTCACCAAATGCCACCAAGGTAGGCTAGCCCACCTTCCTGCATCAACTTCCATTTTGTTAGCACATACTACGGCCAGTTGCTTTGCTAGATGCTTCTGACATGTTACCTGCATTTAATCCTCATACAGTGTTGCAAATTTAATCTCTGCCTCCATTTATAAGAAAAGGGAACTAAGGGTTAAGGAGGGGAATTAATTTACACAACTGTGGAACGTAGAATAAATAATGTCTTTTTTCTCTAAAGATGTCCAGGTACCTGTGAATACAGGCAACCTTATGGCAAGTAACTTAGTAAATGACATTAAGGTTAGAGAGATTATTCTGGATTATCCAGTGGGGCCCAATGTAACTACCTGGGTGACTACATTTAAGAGGAAGGCAGCAGTCGCAGAGATATATGAAAACAGAAGAGACAAGAGATTCAGAGTGAGATGGACTTCACCTACTACTGCTGATTTTTAAGGAAGAGGAAGGGGCCACAGCTGAGGCAAATAGGTGGTCTATAAAAAGAATTGTCCCCAACTGATACTCTGCCAGGAAATGGGACTTCAGTCCTCCAACCATAAGGACTGTAACTGTGCTAATAACCCAAAAGAGAAAGGAAGCAGATTCTCCCACAGAGCCTCCAGAAAGGAACCCTGCCCTGCTGACACATTGATTTGAACCTGGTGAGGTCACGGAAAAGTAATACTTTTGTGTTAAAATGCTAAATTTGTGGTGACTTGTTTCAGCACCAATCAAAAACTAATACACCAACCTCAGAACTGGTATGTGGTAGAGCAACATTTAAATCCAGGTGTGAGTTCTTCACCATAGTTAAGCTCTCTAGTACTGTTCCTGGGAGCCTGGGGCCTCAAAGTCTGATGAACATTAAAGCTAGCAGAGTCCTCAAAGATAAAACTCAAAGTTCTTGCTTTACAGGAAATTAATGGAAGCCCCAGGGGATAAAGTTACCTGTCCCAAGGCAACAAGTTAGTTGTAAATCCACAGTGCATGGATAAAATGTCTATTCACCAGGAGCTGGTAACTGCCAAGTAGCTTAACATTCATTATCTGGTGACTAGTAGTAGTATCAAGGGCTTTAGAGGTTTGCCTTATCACTAGGGAGAGATCAACAGAAAACCACATCATAATGAACAGCCCCTCCCACTTTGAGTTTCCACTGCTGGAGTCAACCACTTCAGACCTCTCTAAACTACACAAACCTGCAGCTTCCCTTATAAGGGCCTTCTCTGAAATGTGTCCCAGGATGTCAAGTCCCTAGCTTTCCAGAGGGCCTCTCATTGCAGAGAGTCTACTCATGGCCCTGCTCTTGGAGATTATAACTGCAGAGCCAACCATTTAATTAAGATATTTCACAGAGCAAATCATTTAATGAAGGTACTTCACAAAGATATGGGGCATAGGCAAAAAATGTCTTCTTCTTTGGAAAACTTCAAGCACTTCCAGGCTTGGGTTTGTATGTGGCAGTCTGGTTGAGGTTCTTCAAGAGCTGGCCCAGAAATTTAATTTTATCATCATTTTTTTAATCTTCATCTGAGGACTTTTTTCCATTGCTTTTCAGAGAGAGTAAAAGGGAGAGGGGAAAGAGGGAGAGAGACACATTGATTGGTTGGCTCCCATACATGCCTGGACAGGGGCCCGGGATCAAGCCTGCAACCAAGGTACATGCCCTTGGCTGGAACTGAACTGAGGACTCTTCAGTCTGCGGGCTGACACTCTAACCACTGAGTCAAACCTGCTAGGGCTGGCCCAGAAATTTTAATGTGATCCTTTTTAAGAGCTTGTACTTGGAGCTGTAAAAGATAAATTCCATTAGATACCCGCTCTCCTCACCCTAAAATCCATTTTATTTGGGCTTTTATCTTCCAAGCCACTCAGCCTAATGGAATATTTTCTTACAGGAGAGTTCAGCAGTCTCCTGTTTCTACTTTGAAAATACAGAAGCCACAAATCTCAAGCATATTTGGTCCACAGTAAGACAACTTTGTATTTGCTTTGGGGTCATAAATTTCCCAACATTTTGGGGGACCTTGCCACCTCCCTCAGTTAACATTCTGAGCCCTGTGTGCCTGCCTTGGAGAACTGGGAGTAAACTGTCCCCAGTGGGGAAGAGGAAGGCAGTGGTTCACAAGGGTACCCAAAATATTAACAGCCACCCTTTGGTCCCACATGTCAGGTGCCAAACTGAGCCCTTCCCATGAATTATCTCACTTGGTCCTTATAACATCTAATGAAGTAAAGCTCTATGATTTTACTGATAAGAAAATAACAGTAAGTAGTTCACTTAGGATTATCAAACCAGTAAACAGAACGGCTGGACAAACCTGACACCAGGACCCAATGTGAGCTTGGCATGGGCACAAAAGAGTTTTGAAATACATTTTAATATAATTTTAAAAAAAACAAAAAACAGCCCAGCCAGCTTGGCTCAGTACCTGAGTGTGGACCTATGAACCAGGTCACGATGGATTCCTGGTCAGGGCACATGCCTGGGTTACCGGCTGGATCCCCAGCAGGGGGCGTGTAGGAGGCACTGGATCAATGATTCTCATCAGTGATGTTTCTCCCTCTCCCTCTCCAATCCTCTCTCTGAAATTAAAAACAAAAACCAAAAACCTATTTTAAAAAAACAAACAAGGAGAAATCATAAGTCTTGGAGCTTCATATTGTGTCCCCCTCCCAACCAATAGAAGGACACCATAAACTTCGCATTTCTTATGTTTTAAAAGTCTGGACCTAGCCCTGGCCTGGTAGCTCGGTTGGTTAAAGCTTCGTCCAGATACAGTTCACCAAAGTTGTGGGTTTAAACCCCCGTCAGAACATACATACAAGAGTCAACCAATGAATGCATAAATAAGTGGAACAACAAATCGACGACATTCTCTCAAGAATCAAAGATTTTTTTAAAGGTCTTAATCCAGCCCTTGCCCTGGCCATTGGTCTTTTCTGAACCTGGGCCAGGAGCCCAAGTCCCCTGGCGAGCAGTGGCTGCCCAGCTCCCTAACCGGGTTACTGCCAGCCGATGAGCCCTGTCCCCAACAGGGCCTGGAGCCTGCACTTGGATTTCAGACCAGACCTGGACTCACAGACCTGGGGAGACCGCGCCTGGATGGGGCCAGCCAAGGAGTCATTTCTCCCTTGACACGGTTCCTACGACTCAGGGGAGAAGTGGAACATGTGAGTTGGCCCATTACCAGGATCCTTGAAGAGCCTGCTTCTCAACCAACCGGTCAAATCAGGATTTAACGTTTCT